GAAGATTAAATGAGCTTATGTATACAAAACCCTTAGCATATACTTGGCTCATTATAAATATTCAATAAACATGTTATTTTTCAATTCAATCAGCAAATGCTGACAGCTGCCATCTGTGAGCCAGGCCTCAAGGATCCAGTGGGAAAGGCAGATCTGGAAACATATTTATAAATAAAGTGCAGGCCAAGCTCACATCTGTAATCCTAGTATTTTGGGAGGCCAAGGTGGGAGGATTGCTGGAGGCCAGGAGTTCAAGATCAGCCTGGGCAGCATAGCAAGACCCTGTCTGTACAAAAAAATTAAAGATTAGCTGCATGTGGTGGTGCAAACCTGTAGTCCTAGCTACTCAGGAGACTGAGGAGGGGGATCATTTGAGCTCAGAGGTTCCAGGCTGCAGTGAGCTAGGATCATGCCATTGCACTCCAGCCTGGGTGACAAACATCTTGTCTCTTAAAAAAAAAAAAAGCCCAAACAACGGAGTATTTGGGGGACAAGGTAGGGCTGGGAGCCCACCTGTCTGCTGCTCTGCTGGGTGGCCTTAGGGAAGGCTTGCCCTCTTTAGTCCTGCCAGGGAGAATGCAGGAGTTGAGATGGGGACTCATGCCTAAAAGTAAGGCAGGGCAGGACTGAGGACTTGGAGTTGAGCCAGCCAGCCTGCTTTCCAGTCTTGCCTCTGCAGAATTCTCCTGGTATGACCTTGGGCAAGCCTTCTGCTACTCTGAACCTCAGTTTCCTCCTCTGAATAGTGGAGTGGAGATGATCTCATCAGGTGGCAGCATGGTCATGAGGATGCAGAAGAGAGGGTCGGGTGTGGTGGCGCATGCCTGTAATCCAAGCACTTTGGGAGGCCGAGGTGGGTGGATCACAAGGTCAAGAGATCAAGACCCTCCTGGCCAACATGGTGAAACCCCATCTCTAAAAAAAAAAGAGGATGCAGAAGAGTGCAGATGACAAAGTCAAAGGTGCTATGCCCTGTGTGGGAGCCATGCCAGCCCTGGCCCACCTGAGGATGAGGAGGAAGTTCTCCCTGCGCAGCTCCGGGTACTCCTTGCTGCTATAGCTCCTCCCATGCCAGTGGTGGGAGTGCTCCTCAGTTTCTCTATCCATATAATACAGTGGGAGGCTGAGGGCCAGGTCCTTCATGTTCCATGAAGTCTGGCATGGGGTTCCTGGCACATGGTGGTGCACCTAAACTGAAGAGTTTCAGTTTCGTGCAGAATATATCTTGGGGTGGGGCACAGGGGCACCCGGGATATTACATCTGCTCCCACCCTGAGCCAGAGGGGACTGAATGCCTGGTGCAGGGCCTTGGCCTTCTCATTGAGTCACTATATTCTTGGACCTCTCTGGACCTCAGTTTCCCCATCTGTAAAATAGGGACAATGGGCCAGGCACTATGGTTCATGCCTATAATCCCAGCACTTTGGGAGGCTGAGGCGACCAGATCACTTGAGGTCAGGAGCTCGAGGCCAGCCTGGCCAACATGGTGAAACGCTGTCTCTACTAAAAATACAAAAATTAGCTGGGCCTCGTGGCTGGCGCCTGCTCGGGAGTCCAAGGCACAAGAATTGTTTGAATCCAGGAGGCGGAAGTTGTAGTGAGCTGGGATTGCACCACCGCACTCCAGCCTGGGGGACAGAATGAGACTCCGACTCAAAAGAAAAGACAATGAAATTGACCCTACAAGAGTCTTTTAAAACTACCCTGTCTCAGGTGCTAGACACCAATTTTCTCTAGCTTGTGGCCCACTCCATCCTGCCCTCCCCCTTCTCCTGGGCCTGGTGATGTTAAGCAAAGTGGTCTCTCCTTCAGACTGGGGGTTCCTGGAAACAGAGTTTTATATCTTTCCTCAAACAGGTGGGCAGGAATATGTCTCTTCCGTGAAAGCACCAAAGGTTAGTACTGTCTAACAATGACAGTGCACTTACATGTCAGACATTTCACGGGCATCGTCCCAATTCATTGCATCACATGGGTTTTTACTAATATACCCATATTACAGATGAGGAGACTAAGGCTTAAAGAGTTTATACGACTTGTTCAAGGTCATCCAGACAGTAGATGGAGGAGTCAGGATTTGTCTAGAGGCCCATTTCAGTTACGGAGAGAAGGCCATGTTAGTTGGTTCGGACAGACTCTGGGTCACACCCCAGCTTTTTCACTCATTCACTAGCTGTGTAACCTTGGGTGAGCCTCTGGAATTCTCTGGCCTCAGTTTCTCTATTTATATAACAGAGTGATTCCACCACAGGGAGATAATATGTGTAAATGTCTAGACAAGATCTAGCACACAGTAAGTGCTCAATAAATGGTGTTTCCTCCTCCCTTTCTTCTTTTGTTCCTAGTAGGAACTCCAGGTTTGGGCATATGCCAAGTCAAGCTGGCCTCGCTGTCTCAGAGGAACCATGTTGCGTTCCCTCCTTTCATGCTGATTAGGCCTAGGGGACTACTGAGAGCCCCTACTTCCTGCCCTCACTCCCGGAGTGTCCTGACTCCCAGGGAGCCTCAGTCAGCTGGCGGGTGAGGGGACAGTCTCCAGGCTGATGAGGACACAGCCCAATCTTGGGGGGAGGTCCTGGCTTGGCACCTGACACTGACTGAGAAACCACAGCCTTGTGCCACCTCATTGCACAGCTGGGGCGTGGCTGGGTGTGCGGACACAGGAGGCACAGGGTTGGTGCTCTGGAAGGGAGCGTGTCAGGGGTTCTAGCCTACATCAAGTTAGCCTCTGGGGCCACTCACTCTAGGGAAGGTGGAATGTGTTGTGGTGTGAACAACAGCTGGTGAAGCTGGCATAGTTCTGCTCGTGCTCGTCAAAGTGAGAGCCCAGTAAGTAGCTAAAGCAGTGCCTGGTGTAATGGACAGGAATTGTCCCCTGGGGGGCTGAAGCCACCCAGAACCAGCACGAATCTCTTCCCTCCACCACCCACTGACACCCTGTCTAGTATTAAGCACTCCTGACCCCCAAGGGCCTCAGATCTCACAAATTATGGAAGGTCCAGGAGCCACTGAGGCAGAGCCCAACAGAACGCTCATACTCTGTTGAAAATAAGCAAGCCCCTCATCAAACCAGGAGAGATGCAAGTAGACTGCAAAGACACCCCTGGAAGCAGAAGGTTCTGTGCCCAGGAATGCTCCTTACTTACCTGGGAGTCCCAGTCTTGGAAGGGAGCTGCTGGGGGAGGTAAGGGAGTCCTGCCCACAGGCAGAGGGATGGCCAGGTTGACCTGATCCTTACCTGGACACCCCAGAATTCAGGCAGGACTCTCTGCCTTGGGTGCCCTGGGACTGGCTGCCCCTTGGTGCCACTGACTTGGAAGAAACAGCAGACATTGGCCCCCAAGGCCATAGTCCCTGGTGTCACTTTTTGGGCACATGCAGAAGGACTGCCGTGGTGGAGCTGGAGAGCTCAGTCCTGCCCTGCCCTGCTGGGCAGGAGAAAGCAGAAGACTGGACTCCCAGGGACCCCCAGGATCCTTGACCTGCAGACTCAGGGCTGAAGGGGGCTCCCTGGGCAGCCTCCAAGGCCATACACCATGCTCACTCACCTCTGAAATATTCTAGGCCACCCTGGAAGACTCCACCATCTCACTGAAATACTCCGGGTCCTCTCCCACCCCCATAATATGCCAGTGCCTTCTGAAATAACCCAGCCCTTTGTGAAACTCTTTAGCTCCCACTGTGCAATACTCCGATAATCTTGGAAGTTCTCCAGCTCCTACGGCAAAGCTCCACTCTACCCTTAAAGTTCAGCCTCAACTTGAAAATTTTGCTCCAACTTTAAATACTCCAGCCCCTCTGAAATATGCCAGCACCCAATTCTAATACTCTGCACTTTAATACCCCAGCCCTCACTCCCACCCCCAGTGAAAATCACCACTTCCATCACCCTCCACCCCCTCTGTACTACTCTGTCCTGCCCTGAGGGAAAGATGGACTCCACGGCCTCCCTGGAGTGCACTGCTGTGGTCCTCACTCTGGTCCCTGCTTGTTCTCATGTCCTCCTAGGGCTCGAATGGCTGCTGGACATCAGTGTAGGGGAGTGAAGCACTCCTGGTGGGAGGGGCTGTGTGATGACCACACCAGCTTCTTCACTGCATTCCAGCCAGGTAGAGTCCACCTGCTCTAGAAACCTTCCTCCCAGCCCCAGGGTAAGAGTCTTACTGACCATATAGACGGCAGCAGTCACCAAAAGTTGGGGGCACCCAGGCCTTGGGGGATGACACACTCCTGACCTTCCAGGGTGACTTGTTGTGAGCCCTGGGGGTGGGTCAGCCCCGGAAAGGTAGTCCCACAGGCTCAGCGGCTCAGCCACTGTACCTGGCCCAGGTTCCCCGTCGGACTGCACTGAGACGCCTGTCCTGTGGCTCCGTGGGTCTGCTGGCTAAAGGGCAACTAGGCCAAGGCCAAGCTGCCTCCAGCCAAGGAGCACGGTGACTCAGCAGGGGCTCTGGGTCATTCAGGGAGCAGAGTGGGGCCCCTGGGACAGGCCAGTTGGCCTCCCTACCCTGCTGTGTGTTCAGCAAAGCACCTTCCCCCAGGATACTCCTATGTGAGAGCGAGTGCAGGCAGAGCCTAGCAATCTGTCTGTAAAGTGGCTGCATGGATGGGGGACGTAACTATGGGTTCTGCACCTGGAGGGAACTGGGTTCCAAGCCCTGCTCTGCTGTGTTACCTTAGGTAAGTTACTTTCCTTCTCTGAGTGGCAGCGGCTTCACCTTTGAAGCAGAGATAATAACTGTATCTTTGTCTTGCCCCTTACCAGTTTGCTTCAAGGCTCAAGTAAGATATTGGTTATAGGATTACTCTGTCATTCAACAAATGTGTATTAAGCACCTACTATGTCCCAGGTTACTTTAGATCTAGACATACAGTATTTAAGGTATTTCTCTCTGCATGAAGCAGCTTGTGATGATGAAGAGACTAGAATTTGGGGTAGTGATGGAGAGATTCCAAAGCTCCTCATCAGATCTCCCTTCCTGGCTCCTGACAGCTTTGTTCCTTTTTTTTTTTATTTTTTTTATTTTAAAGTGCTGATTTAGTAACATAGTGTCTACTGGCACAAACTTTCTATTTCATATTATTAAAACAACAGCAACAGAAATGAAAGCTACATTAATAAAAAGGAACTTAAGAATAAGGTCATTAAATATAACTAACTACATTTTAAATACAGATATTATGTATTTCCTGATTAGTATCCGATAAGTGTCTAGACTTCTATCCTGAATTCTGGTCTCAGATAAAAAGGTCAAAGACAGTTACAAGGAAGATGCTTCATATTATCAGGTCCATTTTTTACGTGATGTGGTCCTTTAGGAAATTGCTTTAGTCTTTCTTTTTATCAGAGATCTCTGTTGGTCCTTTTGTTTGTAATCCATTTATGTCTGCACCCTTACAGTCTACTTTGCCTTTGTTTGTATCATTGGTTTCTTGTTTAGCTTTTTTAGGCCATATACGACCAATAAAGGGGGAAATCAGAGGGTATATGTATGGCTCCAGGAATTTTTTGTAGATCCAGAACAGAACTGGAATGACGACACAAGGAATGCACACCATTGTCCTGGGCCTGAGCTCCTCAACTGTTGATCCGCGACCGCAGAAGTGGAGCTGACAATGTCCGCACTTCCAGAGGGAGACCTGACAGCTTTTTGTATGCCTGCTATGTACAAGATGCTTTTGAAGCCATAATTTTCTTTGTTCCTCATCCCAATAATCAGATACTACTATTTGAGTTTTATTGGTGTGGAAACTACCAATACTACTTAAGCCCAGAGTTGTTAAGTCATTTGCCTAAGATCACACAGCCAGTAACTTGTGGGTCCTAAATTTGAGCCAAGCTGCCTTTAGCAAAGATGGAAGTGAGAGTAACACTACAGGCTTTCTACACTTTGGGGTGATGGGCCGGGTCTGTTCCTGGGGGGTCCTGGCAGGGGCCTCAGCCAGTATCGTCCCTGTCCCCTAGAAGTCCCCAGTGCCATAGAGGACTAGAGGACCAGACTCCAAGCAAGACATTTGAAGGTTGAACAGGCCTCCTGTGGCACCTTGTCCCACCTTGTCCTTGTACAAAAAAGGAAACGGGCCCAGAGAGAGGCAGACACTTGCTCAAGTTTGCACAGCCCGACAAAGGCCTTGCTTCTTACCCAGGCAGAGTTGTCTGCCCCTAAAAGGCACATCGTGCCACAGGACCCCTGGTGGTGCAGACAAGAAGGGTTCAGGGTTTAGAGAAGGGAGAAAATACCGCTGTCTCGAAGGCTGAGCCTGGGCAAAAAAGAGGACATAGAGGCTGCCAGATGGGAGGGCCTTTGGGCAAAAGCTTGGCGGTGGGACTTGCGGTGGGTGTCCCTACACAGGGGATGCATCTCCTGCCCGTGCACGAGGTCAGTCCATGTGAGTCCCCTCTGCGTGCTCACCTTGGCACCTCCTGGGACCAGTTATTCTGCTGCTGAGCTGTTCTTCCTGCTCCTGAATTGAAATCCTTCCTGCCCAAGACTCCACCCGCTGGTCAGAGTTCTGCTGTATGGGTTCCCCCAAAATGAGTGTCACCCCTGGCACCAGAGCCACTGAGTGGGAGGCTGAATCAGAGATTTAACCTGTGGGCAACCTGTTTGTCCTTCAGAATCCTCTGAGAAGTCATCCCTGTCCCCTAAGCAAAGTTTTGTCCTTCCTTCATTCTTGTTTTATCTTCTCTCTTTTTTTTTTTTTTGAGATGGAGTCTCACTCCGTTGCTCAGGTTGGAGTGCAGTGGTGAGATCTTGGCTCACTGCAACCTCTGCCTCCTGGATTCAAGCGATTCTTCTGCATCAGCCTCCTGAGTAGCTGGGATTACAGGCGCCTGCCACCATGCCTGGCTAATTTTTTATGTAGTTTTAGTAGAAATGAGGTTTCACCATCTTGGCCAGGATGGTCTTGAACTCCTGACCTCGTGATCCACCCACCTCGGCCTCCCAAAGTTCTGGGATTACAGGTGTGACAAAACCTAGTGGAACCCAAAGTCATGGAGGGAGAGGGAAAAACAGATCAACTAATATGCACAGTGATAGTTGGGTCTTTTTACCAAAGAAATCTAACCAAGGTTTACACATTACATTTGGTGGTGATGTCTCTTTAAAGTCCCTTAAAATACAAAACAGTCATCCTCTAATCCTGCCTTTTTTAATGATAACTTTTATTTATTTATTTTTATTTTTAAATTTTTTGAGACAGAGTCTTGTTCTGTCACCCAGGCTGGAGTGCGGCAATCTCAGCTCACTGCAACGTCTGCCTCCTGGGTTCAAGCAATTCTCCTGCCTCAGCCTCCTGAATAGCTGGGATTACAGATACCCACCACCACGCCTGGCTAATTTTTTGTAGCTTTAGTAGAGATGGGGTTTCACCATGTTGGCCAGGCTGGTCTCGAACTCCTGACCTCATGTGATCCACCTGCCTCAGCCTTCCAAAGTGCTGGGATTAAAGGTGTGAGCCACTGTGCCCGGCCAAAAAAAGAATTATTCACAGTGATGCTATATACATACATAGGAAGCACTGGTATGGGGCATCCACCAGACCTCTTCATTGAAAAAGAGCCATCCTCTTTGCAAATACCAGATCAGCTGTGTGGGGCTCCTTTCACACTGTGAAAACATGCTGTTCTTCAAAACTTTTCACCTAGTGGTTTTAGCATCAGTAATGAATTGAATTTTGTCTTTCCCAAATTCGGATGTTGGATCTCTAACCCCCTAATGTGACTGTATTTGGAACAAGGCCTTTACGGAAGTAATTAAGGTTAAATGACGGCTTAAGGGTAGGACCCTGATCTGATAGGATTAGTGTCCTTATAAAAAGGGACACCAGGCTGGGTGTGGTATCTCACGCCTGTTATCCCAGCACTTTGGGAGGCCAAGGTGGGAGGATCACTTGAGCCCAGGTGTTCCAGACCAGCCTGGGCAACATGCTGAGACTTTGTCTCTACAAAATATAAAAAATTAGTTGGGTGTAGTCGTGCATTCCTGTGGTTTCAGCTACTCGGGAGGCTGAAGTGGGAGGATCGCTTGAGCCAGGAGGTCAAGGCTGCAGTGAGCTGTGATCATATTACTGTACCACGGTCTGGGTGACAGAGTGAGGCTCTGTCTTAAATTTAAAAAATTAAGAGACCAGAGAGTTTGCTGTCTCTCTGCCGTGTGAGGACATAGTGAGAAGGTAGCCATTGCAAGTCAGGGAGACAGCCCTCATCAGGAACTGACCCTGCTGGACATCATTGATGATTATTTATTTATTTATTTTTAAGACAGAATCTTTCTCTGTCCCTCAGGCTGGAGTGCAATGGTGAGATCTTGGCTCACTGCAACCTCCGCTTCCCAGGTTCAAGTGATTCTCCTGTCCCAACATCCTGAGTAGTTGGAACTATAGGCGCATGCCACCATGCCTGCTGATTTTTGTATTTTTAGTAGAGACAGGGTTTTGCCATGTTGGCCAGGCCAGTCTAGAACTCCTGACCTCAAGTGATCCGCCTGCCTCAGCCTCCCAAAGTGCTGGGATTACAGGTGGTAAGACACCACCATCAATCAACCATTCATGATTCCTTAAATGGATGATTTAATTGGGATTACAAAATGGAGTTTTTCCTGACTGGGCATAGTGAGTGGCTCATTCCTGTAATCCCAGCACTTTGGGAGGCTACAGTAGGCAGATGACTTGAGGCCAGCAGTTCGAGACAAGCCTGGCCAACATGGTCAAACTCCGTCTCTACTAAAAATACAAAAATCAGCCAGGCTTGGTGGCAGCCACCTGTAGTCCCAGCTACTCAGGGGGCTAAAGGATGAAAATCACTGAAACCTGTGGGGCGGAGGTTGCAATTAGCTGAGATCACCCCACTGCACTCCAGCCTGGGGGACAGAGCGAGACTCCATCTCAAAAAATAAAATTAAAAATTTTTTCGCCGGGTGTGGTGGCTCACGCCTGTAATCCTAGCACTTTGGGAGGCCGAGGCAGGTGGATCACGAGGTCAAGAGATTGAGACCATCCTGGTGAAACCCCGTGAAACCCCGTCTCTACTAAAAAAAAAAAAATTAGCTGGGCATGGTGGCGTGTGCCTGTAATCCCAGCTACTCAGGAGGCTGAGGCAGGAGAATTGCCTGAACCCAGGAGGCGGAGGTTGCGGTGAGCCGAGATCGCGCCATTGCACTCCAGCCTGGGTAACAAGAGCGAAACTCCGTCTCAAAAAAAAAAAAAAATGCATACATACATACATATTTGAAGTGGCTGAAACAATAAAGATATTTAAAAAAAAATAATAAATAAAATAAAAATTTTTTCAATTGAGTTTTTCCAGTTCTCACATTCCTTCTATATTTATTAGAGGACATTTTTTTCTTTCTTTCTTTCTTTTTCTTATAGTTCTGGAGTCTGGGAAGTCCAAGATCAAGGTGCTGGCAAGGTAGGTTTTATTCTGAGGCCTCTGCTCTTGTCCTGTAGGCAGCCACCTACTTTTTTTTTAATTTATTTTTTTGAGATGGAATCTTGCTCAGCCGCCCAAGCTGGAGTGTAATGGCATGTTCTCAGCTCACTACACCCTCCACCTACTGAGTTCAAGTGATTCTCCTGACTCAGCCTCCAAGGACTGGATTACAGGCGTGCGCCACCACATCCGGCTAATTTTTTTGTATTTTTAGTGGAGATGGGATTTCACCATGTTGGCCAGGCTAGTCTCGAACTCCTAACCTCAGATAATTGCCCGCCTCAGCCTCCCAAAGTGATGGAATTACAGGCATGAGCCACTACACTGGACCGGCAGCCACCATCTTGCTGTGTGCTCACATCTAGCTGGCATTTTTCTTTTTTTCTTTTCTTTTTTGAGATGGAATTTTGCTTTTGTTGCCCCAGCTGGAGTCCAGTCCCATGATCTCAGCTCACTGCAACCTTTGCCTCCCTGGTTCTTCTGCCACAGCCTCTGGAGTAGCTAGGATTACAGGCACCCACCAAGACACCCGGCTAATTTTTTGTATTTTTAGTAGAGACGGGGTTTCACCATGTTGGCCAGGCTGGTCTCAAACTCCTGACCTCAGGTGATCCACCTGCCTCAGCCTCCCAAAGTCCTGAGATTACAGGCGTGAGCCACCGCACCTGGCTTTAGCTGGCATTTTTCTACAAAAAGGAGCTTCAAGTAGAAATGAACCACAGTTTCTCCTTTAAAAGACAGGATAAATGCTTAATTCTCTAAGGAAAGGTTTTTGTTTTTTCTTTGTAAACAGGAGATTCTAGAATGTGTTTCTATGCTAAGGGTATAATTCTGTGGAAGGGACAGCTGGATAGGAGAGATGGAGTTACAGAGGTGTGATGTCCCCAGAAGGTGAGAGGATTTAGAGTCCAAGTGGGGAAGAAGGAGATGGGTTAGGATGTTGGAGGAAAAAAAGAAAAAGCGTGAGCTGGTCATCTGGGCAGCTTACTGAGAAATGGACTGGAGGATTGCTGGGCCTGGTTAGTGTCCTACTGAGGCTGGGAGCTGTGACCCTGTCTGCATAGCAGGTGGTTTTCTCCTCCACATTCAGAGAAGGTAAATGGTTAGATTCCTGCAGGCCTGGGTTTTCCAGGCAGGTACAGTGGAGGGAGAAGGAGGCAGGACAGTGGCAGGTCTTTGCAACGAATGACCATGAGGGC